CGCGAAGTATCATTCATTGCTTTTACTTGTTGCATCCGCAGGCGTTACACGGTCGAACTCTTTGAATTACTTCATCAATTTAAAAACCACACAAATGTTATATTAAAAACTATTGTTATATATACACAGCACCTTATTACGTCGCAATAGAGTCCTATTTAGTGTGTTTATCAATTAATTGTCCGTAAATCGTAGGATTGATGTGTCCCGTCATTATATTTGGAGGTTAAAGGATGTGATTTTCCATTTGGCACAGATATTTGTAATTAGTTGGGCAGATGTTTTATGTAACAGTTTGTTTCCTTCGCTTTGTGTCTGAATTAAATTGACTGTTTCTGGCGTTTTAATTGTTCATTAATATAGCTTTTTACGTTTGAGTAATATAGAAATCCTTACTTATATATGTGGCAAGATGATAAGAGAAAAATCACATTATAATAAATTAAAAGGTATAATTAATTAAGCTGAGATTTATAAAATAAAAATTTTCAATGAATTAAACAAAGCTTTAATCAAACCTGTAGTCGGTACAATTAAAAACAATAAGTCAATATTATTATCATTTTTGGAGAAGAAAAATTTTAATATTAAAAACATAAATATTATATAGTATAATGAATCTAGAATAAAGTGATTAAGAACACATCATCTGATTATAATAATGAGTGAATTAAATTACATGAATGTATGAATTAATTAACATAAAATTTTCAGGTCAAGGTTTTTAATTTGGATAGCATTTGATCACTTAGTAACAGAGCTATTATTTTTAATACAATCTAAAACAACCCTTATAATATATTTAAGTTGATTTTAATTGAGAAGTCGTGGTTGCCTAGAGGTTAAAAATTCACCTCTCGAAGTGAGGGCGCGGGTTCGAAATCTGGCGAGTACCAATGTGATTTTTCTGACTCATATGTACTTCCTAAGAGTATTTAGACACCACTGACAGACAGTGCAGGAAAACATGATAAGGACACCTGGACTTATAATTCCAAATTATAAGTTTAAAATCAACAACCCGTCTTGAGCAAGCGTGGTGATTAAGAAGTCTTCTCCATGTGAGAAGAGGCAGCTCAACAGTGGGCTCTGATAGGCTGATGATGATGAATTCCTAATATTGTATTATATTTATCACCAATTTTAATGTTAAATCATAAATACATCTCATCATTATCTTAGAATTATAAAAGTTTGTACCTAAATAAAAATTAAGACACAGATTACGATTTCAAAATTAGAGATTTTTTTTATTAATTTTAATTGTATTTATTTAGATGAGTTCATATTTCATCTATGGTTAAATAGTTTAAATTTTAAATAGTTTCAAATATACTATCAATTGTCCTTTATTTATTATAAAGATATCCAATGTTACCTACATAGTTTACATACTATTTAATTAAGTAATTATTTGTAATGTACTTGAAATAAAATTTTGATTTTATTTTTGCTAAATAATTAAAATAATAATATGTATAAAATTATTTAGTTTGTGTTCGTTGAAGGTGATTGGTTATAGCGAATTTACGCAATTAGTTTAAATTATTTGATTTCTTTCCATGAAGATGGATAATCATTGCCAGGATTTAGAAAGGTGGAAAAAATTTGGGAAGGTTTAATCTATACACAATCTTACCAATGTGAATAAATGGTCTTGAATAAAAGCTTTTATTACGTCTAGAAATTTAGTAATACGTACATATATTATTAATAAGGAAGCAGATATTAGTTCACGGTTAATTAAACTGTTAGTTATTTTATTGCTTTTATATAATCGAAATTCTGTATGTGATATGAAAAAAATGTATATGTTTTATACTTTTAAGAATTTGAATGTCAAATTTTATATAAGTACTTACAGCTAATGAGTAGTTTATGGTAATGTAAATGAAAACACAGTTTATGTATATTAGAATTATAGTTTTGATATAATTTTAATAATGCTTATAATTCTGTTAGTCGAACGGACAAAGAACAAAGAATTCAACAATCCTTCAAATGATAATGTGAATGATCACGCGATCGTGTCTACAATAAATAGTGTTTGTGGCAAAAATAATTACAGTCATATATATGTTACACTTAAAATTATAATTAAATTAACAACATTTACTTCCTACATATAGAATCAGTTAAACTATTTTATTTATTTAAACGGATACATAAAGAGTATCTATTCAATGTTATTTCGTCAATCGATTCAAAATTTTAGATAGGAGTCCGTTAAACCTACACCTGGGTCGCTAGTACCAGTCACTATTGAAGCTCCTCTCCTTACAACGATGGACCCGACACACGCATAATAAATCCATTGAATGCTGAAAAGTTTCTCTATTCAATACTCATTTAATTTCATATAAAAGATAACCTTATTATTAAAATGTATACCAAAAAAACTATCAGTCCGTAAACAAGACGTTCAATTAGTAGTGATATATTACAATTAGATAGATTAAAAATAATTTGACTTGTAACACAAGGCTTCAAGAGATATCTCGTGCTCATCGCGACGTGCGCAAGTGGAGCCAGAAATATTTTTAATCTAAACAAACATGTGGCCGGGCTTCAAAATAAATATTTCGGTTCACTATTGAGAAGCATTTACAATATTCACGATGTCTTTTAATACACAGCTTTATATTATAGCATTCATTTTGCTCCCAATAATAGAACTTGGCTAAATTATTTGATTGGATAATTGAAATAGAATAATCTCCTTTAAATATGTATATATAAGGTTTATTTTAGTATTAAAATATATGTAAGTGAAGTGTGCATTACTCTTAACCCGATATAAAACCAACGTTGACCAGAGCCGGATCACTTAGGACAAAAAGAGAGTGTGTTTATGTTACGAGGCTCGCTCGGACGGTGTAATATAGACGAGGAACAAGACATAAGATGAAGCGGATATATAGAAAGAGCGATAATATTAGAGTAGTTTTTAATATAAAATTTTGATACTATCAACTACGATTGAAAAAGTATCTATTTACTTTCCAATTATAAGATCCAAATGTAATTTTTTTTTTGTTTAAGGTACAAAAGCAAAAAGATATTAAATGCATTCATTTGTCAATATATCATAAATATCAAATTAATGGTCAATAAGCCAGTAGAAATATATACAAATGTTTAATTAATATATGTTTTATTAGCTTTATTTATATATATTTTTGATTGTAATTGTACCACTCAATAAAACAGAGATGTTTACCCGTCGCGGAGCTATAGTAGAGTAATTGTAACTGGTTCCAGGGATTGAAAATAATCATTTTTATAAGGTGCGATACGACATCAAACAGTATGACTTTATACGAAAAATAGATTGTTGATACTCGCCACCTTAGTACGAGTACCTACACTACACGCTGAACTGAACGTTTGACGTTCATGGAAACTAGATTCATGTAGTTAAAGAGGAAATTACTATATGTGTTATAACTCAGAAATAAATTGAGTTAAATATTCTAAGTAGAAGTCTAAATTATTGATGACAAAGATTATTACGAGACTTTTCAAACATATAAATATATCCAAAAACACAAAAAACAGTATATATTTGATTTTTCTATGGCTTAAATATACATATTTAGAACAGTTCTTTTGAAGAAATATATCAATTGAATACTATTGGGTGTGTTTTTGTATCAAATCCTCTAAGAGGAACTAGGTTAACCGACTGAACTTAAATGTATTGTGTGTTTTAACTATAAAGGCGACCATTGAGTATAAAGTGGGGGTGGTTGTTGTTTTGTGGTTGCTTGGAGTGCTTTTCAAGTCGTTTTAAAAACTTTTAAAGTAACGCCATTGAAGACGGATGTGTTGTTAAGTGTCTAATTAAAATCTAAGATTACGAGAAATGGTTTGGACTTTGAAGAAAAGATGATACAGGTTTTATTTTAAGTATTGAATTGATCTTGTTTATTTCATAGCTTCCCGTTAAGATTCCCTAAATAACTTTTTAATATTAGGTATACTTTCTCGATGGCTTACGTACAACGATATCAAAAGACAAAGGTATCTGAAAACTACAATCAAAGTCTCAAATTTTCGGTAACTATTATCTTTTGTATAACCTCATACAGAAGTTTATATGTAAAAATCATAATAAAACAATTTCCTTGTATTAAAACTATCTTTATTAATGAAGCGAAACCATTACAGAGATTAATTTCCAAAGCGAATAACAGATGGCGTTAGTAGTATTAACATTAGCGTAATCCTTTCACATTGATTGTTACACTTTAAATTACGTCCTATTTTTGTATAGAAAATGTATTAATAAAACTATTATTAAAATTATATAAACTAATTTAGTTGTTTTCATTAATATATCTTCAATAAAATTCTTTAATAAATCAGTATTATCTATATTTTAAAACAAAGAATACATGTATGTATGTGATTCATGTCAAGATCATTTGATGGCAATTAAAATTTATAATTATATATAACAAGCGTGACTACTGGAAGGTTTTTAATAATAAAATTACATTGGTGTTATTTTTTAAACGTTTTTAATGATGGACATCACTATCAAAACTAGGTTTTGAATCTCAAGGAATACCTTATCATGGTGGCTTACTTACATCGTTTCGTCAGAATATTTTATTACAGTGAATAGAAAAGGAGAGACAATTATTGAAATTAAGAAATATCCTTTTATTGTACATCTTAAAATATCAATTGTAACTTGCTATTAATAGTCAGAATCTTAAAAATATATTATAATCCCAATATTATTATTATTAGAATTAGATTTATTATAAGACTCTACTTTTATGGAAATTAAGACGTGTTTATATTTAGAGAACTCATAAATTCATTAAAGAATGTCAATAACTAAATATAATTCATATTTTATGTTTGTTTGTAATCTTAAAATATATTTGAACGGTTACCAAAATATCTTATAATGTTACACAGTATGACATTTTAAGGTCACATAAAATCGTTAGCTATCCGAGTCATATAAAGGTAATAAACAAGACTTCATGGATTTAATGAATCTACAACACGGTGGTACACGTATCTATATACATATATAGATACGTATCACCTTCCTATATGTATGTATGTACACACAGTACATCTAACTCTACATACTAGTTACGTAAGGACGTGTGATGCCTTACTTCTCTGTTTACAGTGGTCCGGGCCGGTGTCGCTTGTCCCCACCGCGGATCGATCCGCTCCGCCCAGCGCTCGCTCCTCCCATCACCCCCCGGGAGCCCCCCGGACCCCCAAAAGACCCCCCGACCCCCGGCCGGCCTTTGTCGCGCGCCGCCCGCGCGGTCACCTGTGTCGCAGGTCCTCAGTCGCTGAGCGGCCGCGTCGCGCGCCACCCGTCTCCAACACATATATTATGACAGTGACGTGATGGAAGCCAAAGAGTACGGTGCGAAGCTCCCCGCCGGCTTAGATTACTTCATGATGCCGCGCGTCACGCAGACCGCGCCGCAGTTCGACTTTAGAAAACTAGGAGCCAGCTTCAGCGGCCGCGACGATGACAAACACGACGAGCCCGAGCACCAGGAGCGACGAGAAGCACCGCCCGCGCCCTGGCCGCTGGGACTCGGCGTGCAGTTCGTCAACCCCGCCACCGGCAAGAAGAGAGTGCAGTGCAACGTCTGCCTTAAGACTTTCTGCGATAAAGGCGCCCTAAAGATTCACTTCTCGGCGGTTCATCTCCGTGAGATGCACAAGTGTACAGTGGAGGGGTGCACCATGATGTTCAGTTCGCGTCGTTCTCGTAATCGGCACAGTGCTAACCCTAATCCTAAGTTACATTCGCCGCATGTGAGACGTAAGATATCGGCGCACGACGGCAGGTCGTCTCAGCCGTTCCCGCTGCTGCCGGCCCTGGCTCGTCTGCCGCTGCCCCCGCCGGCGCTGCTCCCGCCCGAGCTGGCCTCACGTCTTCCACACCCGCTCGTCCCACCGTCCGGACACACACACCTGCCGCCGCGAGTGCCTCTCGATGATCTCCGTAACTTCAGTGAAATAGAAAAAATGTATAGAAAAATACCATCGCCGGAAAATTACACGCGCCACCCGCTAGACCTCGCTCGAACGTCGGCTTCGCGCGAGGAGACATCCAGTAATTACGTCGATAACAACGAAGATGGTTCTGAAGATGAACACTGTGAGAAGACTAAAATTGAAGACGAGTGTCCTAAAGAGGAAACGTCGTGTTACAACGACGAGCCCGAAGATCTGAGTGTAAATAAAAAGAAAAATACAGACGCTGCACCCGTTGTGATAACAGACACTAGTGGTCGTACAGAGACAGCCACCTCGGATGATAAGTCATCGCTGGTACCTAACAAGCGGAAAAGAAAGAGCGGCAATCCGACGAGATGCTCACAGAGTAACGAGTACAGTGCTTCCGACGAAGAATACAATAGTGATTTATTTAGGAATCTATCGACTGCTAGTCATGTAGACGAAGAGCCCTTATCATTAAAAAAACAGAAACCTGAGAAGTGGGAGCCCTTTCAGAACAACGACGAACAGACTGTGACTTCTGAATCAGTTAAAGTGAAGGCTGAGAGTGATTCGGATGATGAGTCCAGTGCTCCTAGCGTCGTGCGTGAGGGTCTGAGGCTGAGGTCAGATTTATATACACCCAGTGATAGCGGAAGTGACTTACACACGATCGAGGAGAGGCTCGCTCGAGTGAGGTCGCCGTCCGCGAGCAGTGATAGAACAGACGATAGAAACGATGTGAATGATCTCGAAATACCCATAGATGAAGAAAACCCCGACAGATGCACCGCCTGCGGTAAAATATTTCAGAACCATTTCACATTACGCATGCACTACAGGAATGATCACTTGAAGCTGCTCCATCCGTGCGATGTGACGGGCTGTGACGCTGCCTTTCCCTCTAGACGGAGTCGTGACAGACACAGCTTGAATGTAGACCTCCACAGACGACTCCTGTCTACTTCCTCGCCTCAGAACCCAGACCAAAGGCCAGCGTTCGAGGTTAACGCTGAACTGTTAAACAAATTATACGCCGATATAAAAGGGCTCGCGTCAACACTCGAGACGCTGAGATACGGCGACGAGTCTTCCCAGGTTCCTAATTACGTTTCCGAAACTATGAAGTTTTATAGTAGAAACTTGACGGCTCTGCAGGCGGGTCTGTTCCCGCAGCTAGATCGTGGTTTTTTTCCGGGGCCCTTTCTGATGAACGGCGCTCCTCAGCCCGGGGGCCTGTACGCGCCGGGCGCTCAGTCAAACCGAGAGTCCCTATCGCCGCTATCCGCCTCCTCTCCTCCAGTAATATCCCCGGGCCGACTGGACGCAGCTCACGCCAGGCCCCGGGATGACGCGAAGCTGCTTTTTCGGGAGACCTCGGAGTCCTTCAAGAAGATGACCTCGCTGTGTGAGCGTCAGGAACAGCTGTACCAGCACCACGTCCCCGTATCATGACGCTACCCGTACAATCCGCGCTCGTCGTGGTGACAAACATAACTCTCAGACTATGTATATTTAATTGTTAATAATTATAATTGTGTTAATATTTTCTATCGTATTTCGTTTTTGTATATTTCTTGTGATATTTAGACAAATATATCGTAATCATCGATCCCACGAACTGTAAGTTATAGGGGCATGCTTGGGTGTTAAGTTGGCGTTTGTGAAGTGCAATAAGAACTCGGATATTAAAGATAATATTGTGACTCGCAAGATATTTGATCATGTAGAGTATTATTAATTGATGTTGAAAGTAAACGTTATTATGATTGGCTTCATTTATTGTTCTGGCGCAATAAACTCATTGAGGTAAAAGTACCATTGTTTTTTTTATTTGTACATCGTTCGGAGTGTGGCGAATGGAGGTAGTATGAAGTGATCGTTTATTAATAACAATGTTGTTTGTAAGGAGGCTTGTGGGTGCATCCGAGTGGAAACATCTGTCTATACAGTTTTTGTTAACAGCTAACATGCGAGCTTTAATAACAGTTTTCAATTGAACGAGATACCTTTAACAAAACTTACTCAATTTAAAATTCGTAAAGGGATTTAAACTGTGAGGTATAATTATTATTTTTGAATTTAATTTGAAATATACATATATTTATATTAAAACATTAGAGACGGATTATTAGATTAAATAATTTTAGTAACTTCAGTTTGATTATAAAAATGTTGTCTCAGTTTTCATATAATTATCATAATAATAACGTACGATCAAAAAATTTAAATACTTAATTGAATATTTAAAATTATTCTAAATTAATTTTTCAAATCAAATTCAATTATAAGTTTTTGATTTCATGTGACATTTAATTTCCTATATTTTTTAACGTTCATAATATATTTATTTATTGAACCAATTAGTTACGGAACCAAAAATAATGAGATGAATACATATTTTTGTCACATTTTCGTAAAATATAAATAGGATTAAAAGTATAAGCCAAAACTATAAAAAAAAAATAGTTTTTAAATCGATAACCTTACGTTAAAACGAAATAAAAAGCTTTATTTATTACTCTTTATTTATATGTAATAAGAACTATTTATTAACATGTCTAAATTTTATATATTTCAGTTCATATAAAAGGTCATTTCTGTTTCTGTTTTTGTCATAATGATTTCATTCGCCAGTAATTCCCGTACGGCCAGTCACTGGCGTGAGAAAATCTTTTGCCAAACACTTGTAATTGTAGGTGACGGTTGAACGGTAATACATAACTAAAAGGTTCAACTCAAAAACCTGATCCTTTAGCTGGAATAATTGGTTATAATAAAGCCATATTACTTATATTAATATTATGATTTCTTCATTTTGTATGTTGTTATTATGTAATAAAAAATATTTACTAATAATGACGTCAAATTTATATGAAAGTCCTGGCGGGAATCTATGTGTCAGGCAGATTTAAATAAAAGAATCATTAAAATATTAATTTCAATTTAATTATTATCTTAATATAAAAGAAATCTAAAGATTTCGTAATAAACGCAACATTTGAGGGAATTTAAATCCGTTATAGATAATCTACGCAAAGGTTAAATTTTCTCTGAGCCTTTTCAAATGCCATTTCCATCCTGTTAGAATGGCAGAATATGGCATTACAACGGATATCACTTAAATAATTAGGTTTTCTTAAGTATACTTGTAAAATTTATTTTTAAACAGACGCATTAAGTCTAGACCTTTAAGAATAATCGCTTGAAATGCATCTTGATTATGAGAATTACTCTATTTGATTATTTTTAACTAGTCTTTTAAATTGCCTATGTTATGGAAACAAATAAACAAAGCGATAAATCACATATGGTTAATCCAACACTACATCTATCTATTTACAAAATTTCTTTAAAATTGGTTCACTAATTTTGCACGACAAATACATACAAATATCGTAACTTTACCCATTAAATTAATTGAATCCTAATTTGGATATAATAGTTAAGTTAGTAATATTAAAATTGACATATATTAAAAAAATAATCTTGTACCTAGCATGAGCATTACATTGAAATATATGACATATGTTTCGTAAATTGTTTTATGTACTTTAAGGGGTTTAAGTCTGATAGTTATCATCAGTGAGGTAAAGATGGCCCGGGGGTTAAATCCAGTATTAATTAAGGGTTGACAAACTATACTGTGGACCCCTTTCAACGTAACGTCTTTTGATACAGTGAAGTAGGGTATTTAGTGAAATTGTTTCTTGAGTATTACTATTATTTAATTAATTATTTTTTATTATACATAAAAGCCAAAGTACTATTAATGTTTTTTGTGTCATACTTTGGTGGAAACTAAAATATTTTGTCACCGATAGATGGCGTTAGTAAGGATTGACCGTCAAATTTAATACGCGGTAATATGAATCTGTATTATAAATATATTATTTATATATAAAATAACATTATTATTTAAAAAATAATGAAGTAATGAATTTATAATTGTTACAAAAATTTCCTATAGATATCAATTATTAGTGATAATATAATTATAAAAAGTTAAATTGCCCATAACTTCTGAGTTAATTAAGGTTTGACAAATTCCACAAAGACGAACCGCCGCGGGCATTGGCTTTAAGTCACGTTCAGAGAGTAACCAATTAATAATTCAATATTCAAAATTATATAAACAAAATTTTAACAGCGGTTTTATCGCTTTATTATTAGACTTACGAAAAAATATAGATATACATATACATGTATGAAATTATCTTAAATCCAAAATATGTTCATAATTAATTAGTATGAATGGTAAGGAAGCTATGGCCTCGAGGCTCGCTTTAATCATCTTGTCTCCTCCAAACTTGTGTAAAGTCGGCTTAATCGGAATAGCTAATGATTCTTTTAATCTCTTTAAAAATGTTCAAAGGACTTCAAAAGCGTTGAATTGTTGGCTTCGGGCTCAACACATTTAGTTGTATATTATAGATTTTTGATAAAATCATGTTAATTTTTAATAATATTTATGTTATACTAGCTTTTGCTCGCGACTTTCTTTGCGTTAGTTAGAAAAGGCGAACTGTATCGATTTGGAGGCAGTTAATAAACAGATTTTGGATTTAATTATCAAATTTTATTATTGTTAAAAGGATTTAAATTATCCTATATCCGTCTCCTAATTCCAATCTATATCCTCACAAATTTCCAGCCAAATCCGTACAGCCGTTCTTGAGTTATAAATAGTGTAACTAACATGACTCTTCTTATATATATAAAAGATAGACGAATTATGACGTGTTTTTGACTTCCATAGCTGTACTGTGAATTCAATAGACAGGAATCTAAAATAAGTTTGAATGTATAGTGAAGTCTCACGAGGGTGTGAGGGTGTGAGGGTGGAGGGTGCAGTTACGGCTGAGCTGTGGGTGCGATGTAACGGATGAGGATGAATAATTCACGTGTTGTGATCAAAGACAATCCTTACGTCAAGTGGCGTCACGGTTTTTACTCTAACTCTATGGGATTTGCATGCATTACGGGCCTTTGTAGCGAGTTTTGACATTCGCTTGGTTTGATACGAGCTCTGGGAATATGGAGATTGATATTTAACTTTAATATGTGATATTGATATAAAGAAATATATGTTTTATTCCGAACAACGGGTAGTCTCAAATTAAATTCCATTTCTTTAAGCAATGCTTATACTATTGCTGTTTTAAATAGTACACGAAAAGTATTGAAACGAAAGCAATTTTTTTATTGGAGTCAGTTTAAAATGCTGTACCAGATATGTGTCATGAATAACAGCTGATTTCCATCTAATCTTTTATGAGGCTCGAAGTGATATTGACGGCAAATGTCGCCAATAAAATTCAGATCACCATAAATGTTGGGGGCTGCAACCCCTTGAAACCCCTTGGAGCCCCTTGGAGCAGTGTGCCGTGCGTGGAGTATCATGATTTGTTTCATGTGTTTTATGGTTATTGTTATGGTTATGTGTTTAGTGCTTTTTAAGTGGTAGTATAAGGTGAAATTTAAATGTTCATAGCAGCTATATGGACATATACAGACGAGTGATTGAAACGAAATCATTATACTCAATGATTTAATTTATATATATAATTGATTATAATGATCTGGATATACAAAAAAATGACATTACAATAGATACTAACACCAAAATTGTTCATGAATTCATACGAAAGTAAAACCATGACCACAGATAGTTAGTTAGACTAGATATAAGTTTTCAATATATTTAAATATTTTTGAAAGCCAAGTCTTTTCTGATATGTCACTCATGCTGTAGGTTCTAGAGACAGCGCGTCACGGATATCACTTCCGCGTGTCAGGATATGCGTTTTGCATCTGAATGTGAATGTAACATTAATTTGACAAGCGAATACTTAGTTTGACAGTTTTGAACGCGTTTTATATATTAGTTATGGAGGATGAAAATGAGATAGACGGGTTTAGTTTGAGAGTAAGTAAATTCAATGTATAAATATTAGTTCAGTTTGATAAATCGATTAGTTATATTTCTGATTGAGTTTAACTTTAATGAGATCTAAGATTTTCGAGTACAAATTTAAATGAAACTAATATTTTAAACTACATGCTCCCGATGTTTCGGCTACTTTACAGCAACCGTGATCACGGGCAGACGAGATGTGTGTCATAACTTTAAGGTAAATAAAATTAATTATTTTTCGTGTAAATTTCACGAGAATTGTACAACTAGTTTCGTCAAAATAAAAGCTATAATATTTTTAATTGTTTTGTATAAGAATGTTTAGGTTTAAATATAGTTTAATGGTATTCTAGTAATGATTAATAAAATGTTAATTAATGTTCCTACTGTATTAAATTATACCATATTGTCATATTCCATATCGGATATATACATATATACATTATACATGTATATATGTATAATATATACATCTGTCCTATATATTCTGAATGTATATTTTATATCGGTACACTTCTTGTTATGAGTACTAGCGGTT